TTAGTAGTAGTAGTAGTAGTAGTAGTAATAGTATAATAAAGTGAATTTAAATTATATACAATTCTGTCCTCTGAATGTTTTAGTGGTCACATTTTTTTCCACAAAAATTTGAGACAATGTGTTTGAGGATTATGCAAATAAAACAATTTTTTTTTTTTTTTACAAACTAAGATTATGGGAGGAAGACACATTGATTTTAGTCTGCACAGTCCCTAAAATTCATTATTTAATTGAAGTAAAAGTTCTATTGTTTTACAAAAAAAAAAAAGTAATAATGATAAATGTAGATGTGCAAATGGCCTTCTGTTTATCAAATGATGTTCTTTCCTTGTTAATTATATCATGTTCATCATTTATTTAAAAAATGAAGCTGAGTTTTCTATTCCATGATAATGCACTCTTATCAGCTCTAAAAAAAAGTCAATCAATGTTAATGTTCTGTTACTTTACTTTAAGAAAATGACAATAACTTATTTGCCATAAAAGTGAAATGACTGAAATGCACTCAAGAGCCTGAGAAAAATGCTCATTTTAGAACAATTCAGACTGCAGGTTTTTAAAAGTTTTGTATCCGAACTCTGTGTAATATCAACTATTTGTACAGCATCGGCACATTTCCAGAATGTTTGCTAAATTTACTTGTGATATTTGTTTATTAATCAGAATAATTTATTTAATACTTTATCTTCATATAGTGAGAAACCTGTTCATTGTGCTTACATAACCATCTTTGGCTCATAACAAAGTGCTTTTCATTGCAGCGTCTGAGAGACTTCAGACCTTCACACTCTTCAGACAGAGAACTATTTAGAAAAACTAACTTTCATGGGCTGCGCTCTTTACACTGGACACACACACACATACACACACACACACAGCTGGCGGTCACATTGCTCCTTCATTATTGTTTGCCTGTGTCCCTATGACCCTGCAAGCTTCATTTACACCACAGTGTTGAGTGTTCAATCACTGACCTGACATCAGCAGCTTCAGTCCCTCCTGACGCATTCACATACACTTTCAGTTCAGTTCAGAAGAGATTTAATACAGAGGATAATCCAGTCATTAGTGCCTATTTGTAAAAGAAAAATAATAATAATATTATTAATAAGAAGAAGAGGAAGAAGGAGAAGAAGAAAACAAAGTATAAATCATTAAAAGTAGTACTGCTACTACCGTTATTACTTATAATTATCACTTATCTTAATTATAATTTCTATATCATTTAAAACTACATAATAATAATAATAATAATAATAATAATAATAATAATGAAAATGAAGTATGAATCAATCAGGGGTGCGTTTCCAAAAATAATTGTTAGCCAACTAAGGTCGCAAGTTGTGTCGTTACAAACATAGTTGGTTGGTTTGCCAAATCTGTCGTTCCAACAAACCATCACAAACTTCTATGCTTGCAACTACACATCTGGGGCTTTGGTTAAAAACATAGTTCCTGGCTGTGTTCTATTCCCAGTTATCCCCCTATGTCCTATTCATTTAGAACATGCAAACTCCACACAGAAATGCCAACTGACCCAGCCGAGGCTCGAACCAGCGACTTGCTGTATGGCGACAGCACTACCTACTGTGCCACTACATCGCCCTATATATATATATATATATATATATATATATATATATATATATATATATATATATAACTGTTGTCAATCGATAAAAAAATTAACTAATTAATCACACTTTTTTATTAATCGCGATTAATCACATTTAAAAGACTGAAATTTGTAATTTTGACTATACAAATGTAAAATAATTTAAACGCAAGACAAAAACTATTTAAATTCAAAATATATTTGTTTATTAGAATTTTTGTTTAACTTGTGACAGAGATTTCTTCATGTAAACAACATACCCACAATAAACCATCAAGATCCTGGCTTTACAGTCTTATTTATTACAAAAATAAAAACACAAGCATGTAGTTGTCTTTTGAATTTTAAAACAATCAATGCCAATAAAGAAAAAAATTATTTCATAGTTGGATTCTAAGTGGACTGCAAAAAATGCCAAAATACAGGAATTGCAAATATGAAAAATGGAAAATTAAAAAAACATAAATAATTGAATACAAATAATTGTACTCATTGTTAAATTGTATTGTATATACATTTTCTTTCGAATGAATTGAGCTGAGAGTGCAACGACTGACATGACTGACTTAATGTATATATATATATATATATAAATATATATATATATATTAAGTCAGTCATGTCTGTCTGTCTGTCTGTTTACTGCATTCTATTAGTTAGTAAAGAACTTTTTTTTAATCAATTTAGTCTGTGGATTAAATTTGTTTCCTGCATGGGTTAAAATTTAAATTAATTTCCTAATGACATGCGCAATGTTAATGCTGTAAAATACAGTTAGTTTACAGGTGTTTTTCTGCTTTTCTTTATGGAAGTGTTGACCATGCGTCACACAGATCTGCAGATTCTGACAAAGCGCTGTGAGAGATCATGAAGCCCCTCACATTCCCTCAATCTTATTCTCACAGCTTCACGTCTTTCTATTACAGCAACAACTGAGGGCAGATTTCATTTAACACACACCTGCTGCAGCTTCACCAGCGCATGCACAACCACACACACACATACACACACACACACACACACACGCACACACACACACACACACACACACAGCTTTATCATCCTCCACCTGCTCACACACTGACCCAAACATATCGCTCAACTATTCATCAAGATAAATCAACAATAATAGAGTAGAAGACACGAAATGCCTATTTGCTCCCAAATTATAAATGTACACAAACAGCTGGATTATTTGTCCAAATTGGGTAAAATATTTAATTATTTTAAATATTTAATTCCAAAAAAATTAACCCAGTGGTTGGTTTTGTCCAAGTGTTACTCAAAATGTTGGTTAAATGTATAATTTCATTATAAGAGAATACATGCTTAAAACATTTTGAACATGGAAATAATGGGGGAAAATATGGAAAAACAGTGATGTTTACTTTTTAAAAAAAAATTTTTTTTTTTTATTGTTAACCCAGTGATTGAGTTTGTCATTTATTTATTTATTATACATAACTGGTGAAACATTTCGGGTAAGTTTTTTTTTAATGTTTTCTTTTAAAGAAAATTATTCTGTACATCAAAATTTTAAAATATTAATAAAAAATTTAAATAGCTGCTTTCTTGTTTGTAGTTTTAAATAAAATTATTACTCCCGTCATTATTGTTTTCATAACTATTACCATTAATAATAATAATTATAATAATAATAATAAAAATAACATAAATAATTATTTTTAGTGATTTCTGAAGGATCATGTGACTCTGAAGACTCTGAAGAGTAATTAAGCTGCAAATTCATTTTTAAAATAACTGCAATAAACTACTTGGCAACGCAGTGACGCAGTAGGTAGTGCTGTTGCCTCACAACAAGAAGGTCACTGGGTTGCTGGTCCGATCCTCGGCTCAGTAGGCGTTTCTGTGTGGAGTTTGCATGTTCTCCCTGTGTTCGCGTGGGTTTCCTCCAGTTTCCCCCACAATCCAAAGACTTGCGGTACAGGTGAATTGGGTAAGCTAAATTGTCTGTAGTGTATGTGTGTGTGTGTGTGAATGTGTGTGTGTGGATGTTTCCCAGAGATGGGTTGCAACTTGAAGGGCATCCACTGCGTAAAAATGTGCTGGATAAATTGGCGGTTCATTCCGCTGTGGCAACCCCGGATTAAGAAAGGGACTAAGCTGACAAGAAACAAAATGAATCTTCTCTTCTTCTTTGCCCATAGTCCCGTATGATTGCGGGGTCGTCTCTTTGAAACAAGTCCTCCATTTAGACTTCCATATGATAACAACCATATGATATGATGTATGATAACGACTTTTTTACACATTCCGGCCAGACTGTCATCTGGGCCTGTCATCCTCATGCACTCATACACTACGGACAATTTAGCCTACCCAATTCACCTGTAGCATGTCTTTGGACTGTGGGGGAAACCGGAGCACCCGGAGGAAACCCATGCGAACGCAGGAAGAACATGCAAACTCCTCACAGAAATGCCAACTAAGCCGAGGTTCGAACCAGCGACCTTCTTGCTGTGAGGCAACAGCTCCACCTACTGCGCCTCTGCTTCGCCCCAAGAAAATGAATGAATGAATGAATGAATGAATGAATATAAACTACTTTTGACCAGTTATTTTATATTGCAATAATATTTCACAATTTAAAAATTTGTACTGTATTTTTGCTGAAATAAAAGCAGCCTTGGAGAGCAAGATAAGCTTATTTTAAAACATTTAAAAATCCCACTGACCCAAAACTTTTGACCGGTTTTAAGTTTAAACATCTTTTCTTTTCCATCAGAAACTGAAGACATTTTTACAAGCAGCAAACTTCCATTAGGAATTTTTTATTTATTTATTTAGAATTTTATGATTTAAAACGCTGGGTAAAAAAGATGAACGTTTACTCACTATTTACTTTTATGACTACTCAACTTTTATGACTTCTATTCTCTGTTGAATGCTATAGATTTTTTAAAGAAAGCTGAAAACTTTTCCATAGGAAAAAAACAACAACAAATACTATGAAAGTCAATGGTTGCCAAATGTTTTGACAAGTATGTTTTATTTTTTGTTCTTTAAAAAGTCAATAGTCTTTTCTCAAAATAGCTTTTTTGTGTTCAACAGATTAAAAAAAAAAATCTTTAAACAGGTTTGGAAAAAGCACTGTAAAAAATGCTGCGTGGGTTGCACCCAATAGATTTGTGTTGGGACAACATGAAGAAATTAAGTTAACTTATTATTATTATTATTATTATTTACAAATTTAAGTGGACTGAACACAAAACAATTAAGTTATCCTAAAAAATCCTCAAGTATTGTGTTGTTTTGACTCATTTTGAATAAGTAGTTTGAACAAACAGCAAACATCTCTTGGAGTGAGTGAAGGGTGAGTAGAATAAATGGCAGTGTATTTTTTAGGAAAGAACACCAACAAGTGTTTGACAGAAAAAAAAAAGAAATTTAATTTATTATTAAAATGACATAAATAAAACTCAAAGAGCCCAACAAATACAAATAGATAGATATGTACAAATGGTTTCTCTATAGGACGAATAGCAGACAAAACTATACGGTCACTTTTCAAAGCGTATTCACTTTCTCAAACGAAACAGCAAAGTCTGTCTTTCTCTCGTTCTACAGAAAGCACATGTAAGACTGTTACATTCTTCTGTGATACAATGAAACCGGACGTTAATTTCTATTTATTTACACACATATACACTTTTAGTGAGTCAACAGCACAATTTTGATTTTATTAATCTTTTAGATAATATTATCAAGAATAAACACTATAATTGCCCCAAAATGTATGGCTAAAATCTGATAGTTAAAGGGATAGTTAACCCAAAAACGTACTTTTACTCAATTTACTCACCCTCAAGTTGTTCCAAACTTTAAAGAGTTTCTTTCTTCTGTTGAACTAAAAAATATATTTAAAAAAATGCTGATAACCTGTAACCATTTACTTCCATAAGTAAAACAGCTTCTATGCAATGGTTACCAGTTTTGAACATTCTTCAAAATATCTTCTTTTGTGTTTAACAGAATAAAAACTTAACAATGTTTAAAACAAAGGTGAGTAAATGATGTCAAAATTTTCTTTTTTGCAAGAACTAACCCTTTAATTGATTGTCTCTCATCTTGATTGTAAATACGTATGCCTCGGTATGATACAGATGTGACTTTTATAGTAAATCAACCCGTTTTCTGATTGTCAAATCAAGAAGCTCTTCTAGATTTCCTCCTGAAGCCAAGATCAAGTCCATAACTGCAGCATCAGTCCTTAAATGTGAAGCGATCTCAGTAGCTCTGAGCCACAGGCGCCCATGATGCTGTGAGCCGGGCGATGGAGCTCTCGAACTGGGCATCTCCAACGCCAACCTCGCTTAGGCCTGGATCGTACATTGAGGAGGGAGAGGACACAGGCAGCGAGGAGGTCAGACCCGAGTAGGACATCGAAGAACCGCGTAGGAACTGAGATGTCAGGCCACCTGTAATGGAGCCCGATGCTGAGCCTGATGGGGTGAGAGTCGTCCCTGCAACTGACCACAGACTTGGGTACTGACTGTAATGCAGAAAGTCAAGTGTTAATTCATTCTGTCATAAAAGTAAAGCATAAGAGTTATTAGATGTTGAGGGCACAAACCTGGTGTTGGAGGTAGTGTTTGTGGTGTGGGCCAGGGTTCCCATCCCGCTGGAGTTGGGGATCTGCAGGGCTGACCAGCTGTCATGAGACGCAAGACTTCCGGAAGAGTTGTCCATGTAGTTATCTACAAGCAAAATGTATGACAATAAATGGACAGAAATATATATTTGCAGGATTATTAGGATTATTGATTGGAAAATGACTATGAAAGATACTTATGACTACAAAGATACTACTTTTTTAGTGTTCACACCAACAGAAAATAATTAAAAATATAAAATATGTTCAGTAGTGTCTGATTACTACATGTATGCATTGAATGATGAATATGATGCAATGTATGCATTTTGTCATCTTTCACCTTTAAACTTTTGTCATCTGTTGCATAAATTCTGACTGGCTGATTCTCAGTTTGTGAGCTGGAAAAAATTATATTGTTCCTCCATAATGACACTGTTATAATGGACTCTAATGGACATTTTATTTTCATATTTCATATATGCTTTTTTATCTAAAACAAGTTTAGAACTACATAGTTTTTGTTATATGAAAACAGGCATTTACACTGTAAAAAGTGCATGGTGGCTGCCTGGCTGGACATTTTTATCTTCTAGAACTATTTCTACCTAAAAAAAATAATTTTATTGGTATAAATGGATTTTTATATTGATTTGGTAATCCTAGGTTATATCTCATCACCCTGGAATTATAAGGTTCTATCTGCGTTCTGAATGATTTTGAGATGTTGAGCTTCAAAGTTTTTGCATTCCATAGCAAACAGTATGTGTGTGACATTTGTTTAAAATAAAAAGTCTTAAAATGTAAACAGCTTATAAAAAAACATCCCACAATGTAAATAGGTTGTAATAAGAATATGAATAATAAGAATATGTGAATAACTCAATTTTGACAAAAATGTCAGATGGAACCTTATAATTCTAAGGTGACTATATATATATATATATATATGTATAAAAGTGTCCTTAAATGTCATTATGCATGATTACTTGCAATAACCCTAACGGTAAACCTTATTATACATAAAAATTAAAAATAAAGGTAAACACACAAATAATCATACTTTTTAAATCTTGAATAAAATTGGTAACACTATTTTTTTTTCCCCACATTTTGAGAAATTGAGTGAATTTGCTCTTACTGGTGGTAGTGCTGCGGTGGGAGTAATGGCTGGGATATGGAGCAGCTCTGTGGTTCCTCAAGCTGGAGTATCTCTCACAGTACGAACCCGAGGAGTGAACAGGGGCCCCATTGAACTGAGGAGGGCTGCTGCTGGGGCCCATGGGGCCGTTACTGGGCAGGAACCAGCCACCGACTGTTGGAGGAGGACACAAGTGTTAAATATGCTATAATACTGGGGGGAAGTTTGAGTTGTTTGCAGGATTAATGTTGCTTTACTTACGTTGTGAATATCCAGATTGCTGGTTGTCAGTGCTGTGGTCTGGGACTTCCTTGTGGTCACTTCTGTTGACAGAAACAAATCCTTTTTAGTTAACAATAAATTATTAATTATAAAATAAATTATCAAAACAGGATAAATGAATGGCTAATAATGTGTTTTTCTTTTACCTCTCTTTGGCATCGAGGAAAGCTTTGGCAAAAGGATTGTGTTTGATTTTCAGAGCGGTAATCTGAAAAAAAAGAAAAGAAAAAATCAATATGGAAAGTGCTCAATTTATGCAACATTTTGAGGAAAGAGGCAAAAGACACATCTCAAACACTCACCTCTTCATTCTGATATGCTGTGACTGCAATAAACTGTGTCTCAGGAAAAGACTGACTGCTGATCATTTTCTGAATCCCACCGACTTTCACGATGTGTATCCTGGGTTCGTATTTGTGCAATGAGTTTAACATAATCTAAAAAAAAAAAAAAAAAAAAAGTGCATTTAATATATCTAACAACTAAAAATGATGCCAATGATTTTTAAAAATAATTCTAATATTTAAAAGTCCTAAAACTTTTTATGTTTACATTATAACGTATAGGCCCATATATAATTAATCATTACCTGTCCTCCTCCGTTGAGTTTATTGGAGAGTTTGACTTTGCTGAAAGATACGGGTGCTTTCATCCAGTGCGCGCCGAAGTTGGGTGAGTCCGGGTGGATGTAGACGCAGCTCGGGCTTTGGGGTTCGGGTTTCCCACCGGGCACCCATTCACCGTTCACGTATTTCCACCGATTATTATCGGCCGCCACAAAATCCAGCAGGACCGAGTACATTGCATTAGGGTCGAGACCGGTGACACTGGCTCTGAGCACGGGAAACATTCGTCTAGAAAACAGAAGTTTGCCAAAAATGTTTTATTGTATTCACACTGAAAATTTGAAAATAACAAGGTAGGCTAGCCAAATAAATATCTAGTGTTCAGCAGCTATGAAAACTAGAACCACTTGAACTTTTCTCCAACAATGGATTTTTGCCAATGGTTGTGATTTTGACGCTACATAAAAACCTAAATATAGATATGCTATTGCTTAATAATTAACCCACCCAAAATTTAGTTATAGCCTATAAAAAACTGAATTTTTGCACTTAATATGGTGTCAAATCTCAACTTACCTCCCAGTCTTGGTGACAATCATTTCATTGGTGAGCTCTTTAAATTTGGTCCACAACTCCGCGTCTTCAAGCGAAAGTTTAATATCCCGCTCGGACGCGTCCCCTTTCTCGCTGCCCTTCTGAAATTCGCTCTCCACGGCGCTAAGGAGATGATCCAGGCGCTGGTCGGGACTTGAGGCAGACATATTTCCGATCAAATAAAGCTTGAGATAAGTCCGACGATCCTACTAAATCCCGTTGGATACTGTTGCTTTGACAGCGCGTCTCAATCTGGTCTTTTTTAACTTGTCCGGTGCCTTTTTAAAGGCCCGATACGAAGCTCCCGCTGTTACGGGGCGTGACCGGGAGCGCCAGACCAGGCCCATCGCGCCCTAATAGCGCCCGATAATTTGACGCCACAAAACAGAAAGTATTCTTGACGTACAAAGTGGCCCATTTACAAAGTGTTGAGGTGAATGTCAGTGAAAAGAACTAACACAAAATAAAAACAAACAGGTCTACCTAAATAAAAAAATTAAATTAAATGAAAATAAAAAGTAGGCCTATGGATAATTAAAAATGGCCTAAAATAACGTGCATGCCAAGATTGTTTTTTTAAATAATGTTTAATTTATGCAAGTTAATAGTTCACATTTTATTTAATTAGACTTTAGACTTCATTAGACATAGACTTTATTTCTTGCCTACTTTTTATTGGTTCTCCTTTATTAAACCAGAACTAAACTACTGGGTTTAAATACATTTGCATTTGATATATTTGTATTATTACTACAAATATTTTTCATTAAACACATCTCATTTAATAAGAGCACCGGTTGTTTACTGGATATTTGTGGAATGAAAGCCTAAACCCAAACATGTTTTTGCTCTTCGCGAGCTCGTCTTTGAAACAAAAGAAGGAAGAGAGACGGTGTCTGCTGCCTCGTTGCCTTTGAACTCAGTTGTATATTTGCGAATAATGCTAATCTTTTGTTGTCCCAGATACACATGTGAGAAAGCCCGTGTTTACTGGGACGGCCATTAGGATGCGACCATTGACGCGACTGAAGTGTGGATGGCCAGAGGTGACGATCTGTGTGAATTTCCTTAATCCAGCATGACTCCAGCCTGATGAGCGTCCTGCAGAACGACCTGACATAGCTATTAATGCGCTTTTTATTAACACGCAGACGGATTAGAAGCTACAGCTCTAAAAATAACTAATACCA